AGTAGTCTTCAGCGCTGGGCGCTATTAGGAGCTAGAGTAGTGTTGGAGAGAGAGAGATGGTTGGCGGAGGCCAGGGAGACTTACCTGTGGCGCCATAGCTCCAGCTTCGTCTTCGATGTACCTGCAACAAGGTGCCACCTTCACAGGTTAGTACCGGACTGAGAGAGAGAGAGAGAGTTCTTCTTCTTCTTCTTCGAAGTCCACCATCTCTCCCTCACCCTCTCGCCACCTAACTTCTCAGTATCTGCAGACTACTAGAGAGAGAGAGAGATTGGTGACTTTGGGACTCGACGACATTTGGATCCAGACTCTACATTGGGATTGAGACATTGGACGGGGGATTATTTGGGACCTGTACCGAAGACTTGGTATTGACAACATTCCTTTCTTAAAAGTTTTTTTGTTTTTTTTTGTTTTTTTTTTTTACAAACGTGCCGCATGTGCAAAACCTCCATCCTGGTGGTGGTAAGAGAACCACCAAGATTGAGGCTTTGCCTGGCGGGCCGCTCCATCTATTGGTGGGGAGCATCACCTGCTGGAAACCGGGTCCAGCGTCCCATGATACATCTTAAATAGCTCAATGAAAAGAGTGACACCCTTGTGCTGGAAACCGGGTCCCGCGTCCCATATCAAATCATCACTTCCTTACCTATCCTGCAGCTGGGTCGGGGATTGGAGGGGGGCACTGGGGGGCACCAGTGAAATCTCCCTCCATCCCTTAATCCCTGCCATCCACCCACTGTCCATAGGGCGCCTAGGAATGAGAATGCAGAAGGAATGTATCTGGAATGTATCTGCTGGAAACCGGGTCCAGCGTCCCTTTGATAGCACATTAACCCTTCTCAAGTCAATTAACCTGCAACTCCTTGCAGGTATTCCGATTACAAACCAGAGCAACAGCAACAGGAGATTATGAACTCAGCAAACATCTAACCRAAAACTATGAACAGCACAGAGACCCAGCCTTACAGCCTGCTGAGTTTGCTTACAAAGGAGAGACAGAGAAACAATCTGCAGGCGATTATGAACCCAGCAGCCAGCACAAAAACAGCTGAAGAAACGGCTGTGAGCCAGGTAGCAAGGAGATCCAGCGTAGGGTCTGCTGAGTATGAGTATAACCTGGGTGATGTGTTCCTACTGCCATCTCCGCTCATGCGACTGGTAGTGCTTCCGCCAGGGACAACGGGTGGGGGGGGAAGGGGTCTGCGAAGTCCTGGGCTGGCCGTAGTGGGACGCCCGGGTCCACTTTAATCCAGTCATGAAAAATCAGCTGGTAATCCCTTGCCATTCCCTCCCGGGGATCTTCACTCCGGTTGACTCCGGACCATTTTATCTCAGCCGCCCATCCTTCCCTATCCCCCCCCAGCCAGTCTTTGCTGAAACTGGAGATAATCTTGTTCATGTCCCCCCAGGTATATGACTGATCAAGCTTATCTCTAGCTGCTCTCCATTGGGTTGCAATTTCATATTGGACCAATGTTCATATTTGCTCCATAGCTTCTCCGTCTTCTAATTGCGCCCCCTCTATCTCTGGGATGCATCGCTTCCACCATATAGTCCATAAGACACTCCGCCTACCCAGTTTGAACATATTTTCCACAAATGTATTTCCCCGGATTGGAGGGTGATATCCCAAGAGTATGGCCCTCCAGTCCCAAGGCCACGTCACATCGGGAGCAATGTGTCGCCAAATCCTATCCCAGCTTCTCCACAATAGCACTGACGCAGGGCATTGGAGAAAAATATGTTCTATAGCCTCCGCCCGCCTCGTCCCAGGGAAGCTCTGAAGGCATTTGTGGCACCATGGTAGTGCTTTCCCTTGCTGTTCCAAGCGAGTGTGGTCTATCAACCAGTCGTTGGTTGGTAGACACCTATGTTCAATTTGCCATTGGAGGGACGAGATTTTGGCGGGTCTGCAACTATAGTGAGCAAACCATCGAATGGGCTTAAGCAGGCTACGGTCTATGTTAAGATGGCGATACCATCTGGCTTCCACGAGGTCCCGCAGTCTGCATTTGGGTCTGAACATTCGGTAGGCAGATTTAGTTTTTAGATTGAGTAGTGTCAGTATGTTGTCCTCTCCTTTCCTGGCCGGGTTACGTTGGTTCCATCGCCACTCTTCCGGATCTAGGGGGAGGTCCTCAATGGGGGTCATTGGGCAATACACCCTCGGGTAGCACCCCTCCTCAATAACCCTGATGCGATACACATCCTTTTGTTCTCTCCATATGAAGGGTTATTGGTTCCCTTCTAGTCTGTCGTCCTTTTGGATGGAGAAGATTTCTATTAGCGCATATCCTGGGCCTGTAAGGTGCACATGCCCTACCTCTTTCTCACGGTCGGGTAGCCCCACCCAATCTCCTTCCTTTATACATGGACCTTTTCTGAGGGTGGTGTACCAATGGAGGGGGAAGCTCTCGATGAGGTCGTTGAATGCCTTCTCGGTAAGATGGCAGTACCGCAGCCATGTACGCATCCTTTCTGTGCTCTTCCAGTTTCCCGCCTCCCTGTCCCAAAGGTCCCCAACCCTCCGGACACCATGCTTTACCCAGCCTTTCCACGGGGCATCCGAGCTGTTCCGCACACGCCTCCTGAATCAGTTATTAGGCGGTTATCAAAGAGGGGTTGCCTGAATATCTCTTCCCACCTCTCAGGTGTCAGTCAAAGTGGGGGGGGGAGTTTCCTCCAAGTACGTGGTATCTTCCCCTCTTCTTCGTCTAACCCGTTTCTTCTTCGTCTGTGAATGGTGTGGGACTGGCACATTCTTCCTGTGTGAGCGCCAGGCCGCTTCACACCATGGAATGATGACGATGTATGTTTGGTCTGCATTGCGACATTGATTGTTCGGATCATTGGTATATTAGCCTTCCGCTGCGGTATCTTGTACTTTGTGAGAGAGGTCAGTTCTTGTTCTGGTCTGCACCTTTACAGTATGTGACATGGGACCTTCTGTGGTCCTTGCACGGCTGGGCAGGCCGGGCAAACAAGGTGACCAGGGCGGCCCGGCTGGTAGCCCGGGTAGTAGCATAGCCAGGTCAAAGAACTCTAGGGCATTTCTTGGGTCAGTTGAAACGATGAGCCAGAGTAGGGTTACTCTAATTATGACAATATATTTTATTATTTTTGCTAATGGTGATGCTAATCCATTGGAAAGGGGGGGTTGCGGGGGGGAGGCAGGGGATGGCGTATGTGATGTGGAGTACTTATGATGCCACATACATATACTGAATTATTGAAGCACATGAGATCTCAACCATGGATTTACACCAGCAACTGCACATACTAAATTTTTGCCATCACCAAGTGGCCTAGCTCAGTTGGTACGCCTCTAAAGGGCCTAAACGCAGACCTGAGTTTGAACTCCACGGAAAGCAGATGAGTAAAATTATCGTTTAATTATGACAATTCCTAGACTACCAGCCGGGCGGCCCGGACGTGCAAGGACCAGGGACGGTCCCAGCAAAGAAGGAGGGAGGGGGGGGGGAGAATTCCAAAAACTCCAAAAACAAGACTTTGTTATGCAGAAAAAATAAACTGGACAACTTTTGCCTCAGGGTCACATCAAAATTCTGTACCAATTTTAAAATTAAAATTAAATTTAATTAATTTTATTTTTTTATTTTTTTATTTCGTTTTGGTCCGGCCAGCAAGTGGTTGTGGGCCACTCTGGTAGCCTAAGACAATTCGTAATTACCTAGCGCCGGTCAGTTCGATGGTGATATCTCAAGGCCGTCCATCGCCCTTTTTTTATTTTTTATTTTTTATCCTGCCATTTCAGAAAGCGAAAGAAATACTCGCCGCCTTGCAGTCTCTACATAGTCTCCTTGCGGTCTCCACATACATTGCCTCATTTGCACTGCGCCCTCTGCATTTGTCTAATTACAAATTTAAAATTTCTAATGCCTTTGACCTTGCACAAATGCCCCCAAGAAAGAAAAACATTACATTCTAATGCAGGAAATTTGCCATGGTTCATTTTTAGGGGTTTTTAAACTTTTTTTTTTTTTTTTTTTTTTTTTTTTTTTTATAGTATTCTGCAGGAAAAACTTGCCATGGTTGATGGTTCCTTTTTTTTTTTTTTTTGTCAACTGCGCATATTTTTCTTAATAAATTTTAATTAATTAATTCCGTAAGGGAGGAGGAAGGGGAGGAAGCAGGAAATAGAGGAGGGGAGAGGGGGAGGCGGGATCCCTTTCCTTTCCTGGTAATTTTTTTATTGAGTTAAATTCCCTTTCCTTTCTGGGTGCCTCGCTGACTAAGTAAGATGATATATCACATGAGAGGTTAGATCATAATACATTCAACGTCAGCCATAGTCAGACACATGCAGTACACGATCAGGTCTCACACAGTCACTCATGATGACAAGTAGACGATAGACACGAACACACTTGAACAGGTACCACTGAATTCATTCCAACCAACCCAAGACCCCTCCGTCAAACCGCTTCACCTCCGCGGTGGTGGTCAATAGACCGGCCGACCACGGTACCTGAGAGGGCGTCTATATCCTACGTCTACCTATTTATAGTTCAAAAAAGTTCGCGTGGGCCCGTCCGCCTCCCTGAGGTCGGGGGCCCTCTGTACCAAGGTCCAAAAAAACAGCCTATAGAACTTCCGGCTATCTGGGTCCGGTACCAGGCTGGCACAACCAAAGGCTAAAAACTAATGCCTAAACCGAACAGACGAACCTGTCTAAAAACATTCAAATCGGAGCTCCAAACAAATCTAACGACTCAGAGGCAACCCTGCTAACATGAAAAATTCAAAACCAACCCTGTCCAATATCCAGCTCAGATGTGTAGTTGCAATTTGTTTGTAGACGACAACAATCTTTACCTCCAATAGGGGTACTGTCATGCTCACTGACCAATCCTTGCCACAGACAAAAGCAACTGTTCGTTGCCACAGATCGTCGCGTTTGTACGCAAATCTATGGAACACACGATTCACAAACTTCACTGGGAAATCCTTCTTGACCAATTCCTGCTGCAATCCGAGCACCTTCCTTGGAATTTCGGATCTAATCGAAGTATTGCGTTCAATTCGATGCAAGTGACTTCCAATCATTGCACACTTTTGCTTCTTCCTCCCCCAGGACCGGAAAGACTGTCCATTCTTTATGAGCAATTCCCCTTCTGCCTAGATGTTGTCCTCATTTCTGGACATCTGTACGCTTCCCAAAAACGGATACGATTGTGAGGTGCGAATTTGGCACCCAAGAAAATCCAGTACTCCATTGCCGCTGTCGGTACGTTTCAGAGTGAAGTTACTAGGATAGCACTTGACAAAGGAGTCGAAGATAAAGGATCTTGTTGATTCATCCTTGCTTGAGATAACTAACAGCACATCATCAATTAGTCGCAGAGCACCCAGGTATCGATTAAACCGTCCAAGTGAACAGGTCAAACGATATTTCGAGTAGGCACACATGATGCAAGCAATGGGTGGGCTCATGCTCTTTCCCATAGGGACACCCACTTCCTATTTAAGGAGCACACCTGTTGCGTAAAAATAGGTGTGTCCCATTTCCAAGTGCACAAAGCTCAAAATATCCCGGAGGTACATGTATTTCCAGTGGTCAGCCCCTGTCGTAACACCAAAGGAAACGCCCTTCCCTCGCGAGTTAACTCTCACGTAATCATGACCTTTACTGACATGATAGTCAATAATCCAGTCAATAGCTCGCAGAATCTCCTCGTGTGGGAGTTTGCTGAACATCTCCTTGATATCGAAGGAGTATGACGTAATCAGTCGATCACTCCCTAACCTTCCCATCTTATTATTAATCAGTGCCAACTCCGTGGTCAGATCCGACACAGCTCGAAGATTAAAGTGCCACCTTTTTGGTAGCGTGTAAAGCAGATGATTCAAGCTCTTAGCTACCATGCGTGCTGTTCGTACAGTAGGCTCACTGAAAGAGGGATAGATAGGCCGGTACCGGGTTAGATCTTTATGTTTAGGAATCACATAAGCCGAACCAAACTTGCCTTCCTGATTCCAGGATACAAACTTTTGCAGGTTCAAACGACTGACATCCTCCCTTACTTCCCTCAGGATTTCTGTCTCAGATCGGCTAATGACCCGATACCCAGGGTTACAGACAAAAGTTTGCATCATTGCATCGAAATACACAACAGGGCACATAACCACTGATTCCCCAGAGTTCCGATCAACTGCCGAAATGACCAGATCAGCCAGACGAGACTTCAAAGCTAGCACTTCGTCAGTCAGGATGGTCAAACTGGTATCCCCGCTAGATGTAAAGCAAGACGACAGATCCAGATTAGAACAATCGGGAATAACCCCATTCAAGTTCTTCCAATTGCGGAACCCTTCAATCAGTTCCTGCCGAAGCAAATTAAGCCTGTCAGTGGCCTTAATCTTCGGAATGTTATTCGCATTCAGTAGAAGTGGGTGCAGTCCTGCTACCTCACTCAACCAAAATAATACATGCCCATTAACACGCAGGAAATCCATACCTGTGCAACAACAGGTAAGCACACATCGTGTTGATAAGCTACGATGATTGTGCAAGATGTCAGCAATCGTTGGATTCTTAGTCCCAACGATGCGAAGTTTCCTACGTGCTCGAAGCATAAAGCATTGAGGTAAATCACACAATGACAAAGCACCATTTGCTACTTTCCTGAATTCTGACATAACAAACCTGTCATCGAATTTGACACGAAAAGTAAGATCCAAGGATAAACTGAGTCCAAATCGTTCTCGAAAACAACGAGACACCAACCTTCGAAGATACTTTCTCGTCGAATTTCTTGAAAAGTCTTTGATCATACGCTAGATTCGTAGCATCGATTTCATGTCCCAGCGGTATAATTCGTTCAATTTGTTCGGATTACGCAGGATGCTCACTAAGAACTTCTTGAGATATTTGCACTGAGATTTCCACTTAATCACCTGCAGAATCTGAAATACGCCACCCTTTTCTAACAAACCTTTGCATTCCTTCAGGGTAGTTGTACGCGACAAATGCAAGATATTACAATTCCCGAATGCTCTGGACAACTTCTTCCAACTCGGGGTCCAATCCTTTCCTCCCTCGGAACTAATTACACAGTCATGGTTGCCTGCGTTCAACACCTCATCCAGGAAGGAGTGGAGGTCCAGGAAACTAGAATTATCGGATACTCGACGAAACCGAATAGGTGTCACTGGAAGGGCTCCACTGTCGCCATCCGACTTACCTTTACTCCTCTTCCTCTCATTCTTACCCAAATTCTTCTTCCTCCCTGATCTCTTATTCTCCTTCTTTACTCCCGCGGTATTAAGGAAAGGTGGCCATCGATTAATATATAATTCTTCAAGCTTACCAAGTCCATCTCCCTCGATATAGTCCACTGGCATAAGCACATAATTCCCCGTACCAAAAGAGGCAATCCATCGATGAAAGTGCGATTGCATACGTTGGCGGACAGCATACAAGTGTTCTCACCAATGTGTGGTGCAGTCCCGTATGGTCTTTCCAATATAATATGACTTACAATACGGGGAAACGGCTATATACACTACGTTACACAGGTCCAAAAATCCTATCCCATGTATCTCGTACAATACCAGCCATTGGTCCAAACACTTCTGCAACCACCTAACCCGTCCGGTCAAAGCAAGAAGAATTATAGTTAGACGAAGTAGTCTTTCCAACTTTCGGTCCACAATCTTAGCGCAACACCGAACACTCGTTATATACCTGCACAACTCCCACAATCTATCCGGATGAAAACCACATCACTCCACTACATCAGCTGGAGTTTCAACAGCTTCGGTGTCAGTTGAAACAGATAACGGGATTACCTCAGTCGCTCGGTCTCCCTCAGGAAATTGACGTCTGGAGCGATACTCGGCAATATCGAGAATCGCGTGGATCTTACCCTCATAATGCAGTCCCTCCTCTCGGCAAATCCTTTGGAGCTCATCCGCGTTACAATCCTTCAGTTCTCGCATGAATGCGTCACGGTATCGTAGCCTCAATAGAGCTTTACTAGCTGGAGTGATGCGGCCGCTTGGTGGTGTTGCCTTCCATCCAGATTTAAGCACTTTGTTGAGCGGCGGCTTCACTGGAGATCTCTTCTTAGCTCGTACTGTAATGCAGCCCGCCTTCTTCCTGGCCTTCGCTCTTGTCATCCGATCAGTGGGTAACACCGGTCTGGCTATCTTCCTCGGAGTTCGTTTGGTCGGCATCTCCATCGGTGGACTTCCCTCCAGAGCCACGTCAGCTACCCGTTTACGCTTCTCGGATATACGTAGTTGCTTAGTCTTGTCGCTGATCTCTTGAGTCATGCTCGCTTCACTCCCTTCATCGCTGTAGTCTGTAGAGGAGGACGACACCGCTCCCGGTTCTGGCTCCATTTTCTTCTTTCCTTTGACATCCTGTTTTCCGGCGAATAATGCAAGGATCACTGATGACTTCATCTGATTTATCCAATCATCCTTGATTTCACCCATCAGCAGAGTGGCGTGAAGGGTCACCTCCTTTTTCATCTCCGCTCGTAACAAAGCTTCACGTTTAGCCTTCTCTGCTTTCTTCCGTTTCTTTTCCTCCCGCTTTGCTTCCTCCTCCATCCTTCGTTTTTCCTCCTCCTCGGCTATCCGTCTCTCTTCTTCCTTTCTTCTTTCCTTGTCCAACCTCCTTTGTTCTTTCGCCTCCCTCTTTGCTTTCTCCGCTTCGAAGTGTTCCTTCATTTCTGCTACTCCTTGTGATAGCGCCGCAAGTTTACCACGTAGTTCAACGTCCTGACGTGGTGGAGAGACGTACCTCCTATGCTCAAATCTCCGTGGAGAACGCGATCTCTTGGAGTCCATGGATGTCGATGGTGGACTTGAATGTTGTCGTCGGTCGCGGTGCGGACACTGATTAGCGTAGTGCCCTTGCTCGTGACAGTTGAAGCATGTCGGAGCTCTATACTGGCGTCGATCTCCATCGCCTGCTCCTCTGTTGTCATCCCACCGCTCGGAGTTAGACATGTTTTACTTGCGAATGCTAGCTTCGCAGCCTCACTCTCCTTCACTTCGAACATCCACGTTACCTCACTGGTGTCGTGGTACCAATTGATGGCCAAGTAAACACGTCGACACAACCAAACTCTCCGCTCCTCGCACTCTTGAAGCTGCCTCACTGATGTCGTAGTCACAAGTAACTGATTGAAAAAGATTCGAGTCGGCAAAATGGCTGAAACACGCTCACTTCAACCCGGTACTCGTCCCCAGGCAAGTTCACATGCGCTGTACTGAGTAAGATGATATATCACATGAGAGGTTAGATCATAATACATTCAGCGTCAGACATAGTCAGACACATGCAGTACACGATCAGGTCTCACAAAGTCACTCATGATGACAAGTAGACGATAGACACGAACACACTCGCTGATGCCAGTGGAACATATTTTTTTGCAAACCAGTGCTACGCTTTTCGGGAAGGTGCTCGAGCAATCCTTCGCAAAATGTAGGGGCACTAGAGCAATTAAGGTGAAGCACAGAGCCAGCAGGGCAGGTATCTGCCTGAGAAAGACAGCATCAAGGCAGACTACAGCATTGTGGCGAACTGCTTTACGGGATGCGCTTGGTTTTTGCACCCCTTCCTTTTCTTTTCTTTTTCTGTTGTTCACTTTCAGCAGGGGTTGTATATTAGTGCTTCTCAATTTGCCTGGCTACTTCGCAGTTTTGGTATGATCCTCGCTTGCTGTCCTTTTGGCAGGGTAGTTACTAGTTAGTATATTTTGCTTCATCCTTCGTGCTTCGTAGGAAAAGACGCCATCCAGGCATTTTGTCTTTTCGTGCCTTAGCGAGCGTGCGCATGTCTTTTGCATTTCTTTTTTTCGATGCGCGCATTTGGATTAAAGGCAGTGCCTGTCTCTCTCCGGCAGTTCGCCTGACCAATCTCTATTGCCTTTTTCATTTTTGCTTTCTTGAATTCTGGTTTCTTTGTGCACACGGTTGCTTGGTAACTCGCACTGTCTGCTTGGTGCGCAAATACTCTGTTGTAGTAGTATAGTACATAACTAGGACTCTCTCTCTCTCTCTCTCTCTCTCTCTCTCTCTCTCTCTCTCTCTCTCTCTCTCTCGTGCTCTCGCTATCTATCTATCTATCTATCTATCTATCTATCTATCTATCTATCGCTTTGCCAGCATTTTCACATCATGCTCCCCTCATCTTCTTGAATCTCTCCTCCTGCTTCTCTTCCCTCTGTCATCCTGATTGGTCCTATGCTGCTGTATGTCAGATCGATGTGTGGAGAGAACAAATCCAATTTGCTGTGTTCTGCACAATTTGCTTTGCTTTGCTTTGTTCTGCCTGTCATGCCTATCAAAAAGTAAGACAATGACACCAAAGACGATGGCAATGACGACGACGACGACGACGACAACGACAACGACAACGACAACGACGACAACGACGAAGAAGAAGAAGAAGAAGAAGAAGAAGAAGAAGAAGAAGAACGACAAAGAGGAGAGAAGGAGGAGAAAAGGAAAAAGGAGAAGAACCTTGTCCCTGCATGTTCTGATTCTGATGCCTCTCTTTCTTCTTCACACACTCTCTTTTTTCGTGTGTTTTCTTTTCCGGATCCATTAACAAAGATCAACAAAGATTGAAAAGGAACTGACTGACCGGCATAGTTACGTAATTGATGTAGGGCTGAGATGCAGGTGGGAGTTTGACATTCTCAGTTTGATGGGGAGTGAACTTTTGTCGTCATGTCTGCTCTTCAGGTTTCTGGAATGCGACATTGACGAAGCAATGGAGAGAGTGCGGAAGCGACACATCGGGACAGGTATGCTCCCCCGGTTTTCTTTTCTCGGGCCACTTGGCCTGGCCAAAAGGGGTTAGAGAAGGTGAAAGAAATGTGGGGCGAGTGCCCAAGGCTCATATTATTGTGACTCAAGAAAAGGGCCCGGGACCTCACAATTATTCCACCTGGATTGGTACCGGGACCGATAACTATTCGGCTCTGGGGCTGCTGGAAGTTGTTGAAAAAGGAAAAGGGAAAAGTCTGAACCTCAGGCTGGATGTGCTTTTTTTTGGGACATCCGTTAAAATTGGAACGATGATTGGCATGGCCCCTGCCCTTCACAAGGATGACACACATGAACCGAGAAATGGTCCCCTACGCAAGGATGACACACATGAATCGAGAAATGGTCCAAAATTTTGGGGGGGAAAAAAGATAAAAAAGATTAAAAAAAGAACCTCCGGCTGGATCTGTGCTCAGCCTGAGCGGGCAGAATCTGGCCTTCTCTTTAGATATGGTTGTGTGCAAGGGAGACCATGGACGCGAAAGTCAAATCGCAAGCAGAATGAACTCTCAATCCAACGGCATTGACAGAGCTGTAAAGAATTGAGCAGAAACGACAAACCAATGAGCCACATAGAGATATGACAATATTTTGAAGTTGCTTGATGAAGAAAGCCCCAAACTCACCTCCAAACACTTCAAAAGACGACAACGACAACAACAACAACAATGATGATGATAATAATAATACCCTGACGCCAGCTGGCCAATGTGATTGCATTCCCTATCTACAAGTGCACCACTAGGCTACTCGGGGGCTCGCTGTCATCCAGTACCACGCAGCCCAAAGCTGCTTCCACTGAATGGCCCTCGAAGAATGTACAGCGCCGGAGCTCAATCGGCGACCACTATGTAAGTCCCTTGTCAACACTCCTTCCCACACTCCTCCTCCTGTTCCCAAGGCTCTTCCCTTCCTTGCTCTCTCTCTCTCTCTCTCTCTCTCTCTCTCTCTCTCTCTCTCTCTCTCTCTCTCTCTCTCTCTCTCTCTCTCTCTCTCTCTCTCTCTCTCTCTCTCTCTCTCTCTCTTGGTGTGTCTCTGTGGAATGGCTATGGCTGGCATGCTGACCTTCCTCACTGAGCGCTGGCTGGTCTGAAGCTGTGTGCTAGAACTCTGCCCGTGTGTGCAATTAAGAAGCATAGAGGCTTGCAGCCTGTCTGCCCCGGCCTCTTGCTATATTCAGCTCCCAAGACACCTACTGGGCTGGTAGAGCCTGCCCCTTGAAGATTCTGAAGAGGCCAGGACCTACCAGTACACAAACTGCCATGCCTGGTATCCCTACTCAGCTTATCCTGCCCAAGGTGGTCTAAAATGTCCTCAGGCCCGAGGCTGGGGTCTGCGGGCATGCAGACATTTCCTGTCCCATCTGTCCTCACATATTGTTCACCTAGGAGGGTTGGGGGTATAAACGGCCTAAAAACACGGGGTAGAATGGGATTCAAATGGATGACAGCGGCCATGATTCCCGGAAATCTTGCTTTGCCCTCTGAAACCTGTCTTCATTCTGTCATCCGCTCCCTTATCGTCCTCATGTGCCGGCCCCTTTTATCTGCCATGCTCAGTCAATCCTCTGGACCCCAGAGTAATCAATGCTGGCAGGTGTATCCTCTATTTTCATTCTGTATATGGGACGCCAGACCCGCTTTCCAGCAGGTGTTGCTCCCCACCAATAGATGGAGCCTCTCCCCCGGTGCTAGCAGTGTCTGCCCTCCTTACCAGCACCGCTACCACTGGAGGGGGTGTTTGCAAAAAAAAAAAGAAAAAAAAAAGAAAAAAAAGAAAAAAGAAAAAAAGAATGGGATTCAAATGGGCATATCTTGATTTGATTATCCTTTTTGAGTTTTTTCTTTCAAATCGTCAAAAATTGAACCAGGAATTCTGAAGTGACCCACAGGCAAAAGTCCGTTCGTTATCAGCCGCAGGACCTCCTCCATGCGGCGTGTGTGCGCGGATGTGAACCGGCGCCGTCAGCCTCAAGAGCCAAGTCTCTTAACCACTACAGCCGTGACACGGTGTACAAAAGTGGATCCATGTCAGTCGTGATATCCACCGCACCCTTGCATGGCTGTAGTGTCCTTCAACTCACACACACACACACACACACACACACACACACACACACACACACACACACACACACACACACAACACCACACAAAGGCATCCACCACACAGGCAGTAGTCGCACACTCTGCTCCCATCCAGCACAACTGCTTACCCAACGGTTTGTCCATGGGCCACCACATCCAGGTAGAATTTCTGAGCTGGTTACCCGACGAGTTGAGTGTGAGTGTGAGTTGGTTGTGTGTGGTGTGTGGGAGAGTGTTGGCCCTAGACACTGGGTCTACTCGATGGGGGCCGGTACTCAGGGTGGGGGAGAAGCCGCTCGAAGGTGTTCTTTGTTTTTTCTCTCTTTGAGGTGATGGTGGCAGGGGGAAGAGGGGAAGCCGACGAAGAAGTGCTTTGCCTGACATAATGCCGTTGTCGCACTGTGATTGTGGTCCCCGCATATTCTCCAGGGAAGACACCAGAAGTCGCCAAGTGGCGGGTGAGTGTCTGTGTTTGACTGATCATGCCTGTTGTTTTTCAAAACTCTTTTGGCTTTCTGACTTCCTTTTTTTTTTTGTTGTTGTTGTTAATACCTTTTTTTTTTTTTTTTTTTTTTTTTTTTTTTTTTTATTTTTTTTTTTTTTTTTTTTTTTTTTTTTTTTTTTTCTGAAACGCCCACCTGCAGTGCTAGCGGTAAAGGTAAAGAAAAGTTAGAAACCCTTTTTTCTTCTTCTGGGAGGGATCCAGTCCGGTTACTTGTCCCCGGCAAGCATAAAGGTAACAATATGAAAGGAGGGGACCACCACTATGACAGCTAAACCGCAAGTTTTTTTTTTTTTTTGTTTTTTTTTTTTGTTTTTTTTTGCGGTACTTAAACCACAACCACACCCTTCTGCGCATTTCTGAGAGTTTTTCCATCATGAATGAATTTAGCCCGGTTTGGCCAGGCTCGTACAGCCAAAGCCAGGCACCCCCTGTTCAACCTGTGGATTGTCAGGATGTACAGGTGTGCTTAAACCATCAGTACCTGTTTGCCCAGGTGAACGTGAGAATTGAAATCGAGCCAATCCGAAAGTTTTGGAGACTCGGGGCTACCGGACCAAAATGGCCGATGGCACCAGCCATAAAAAAAAAAAAAAAAAGTCATGGTGGTGTTTCGGCAAATCTTGCTGCTCAGGGGGAATCAAGCCTCTCGTAAGAGGCTCGGAGGTCCAGGTGGCTTAAACCACTAGTACCTCCGCGCCTATTTTCGACAAGTACTGGGCTACCTCCGAACTTTCAGGAGGCCGAGCCCGCCGTTGATAAATCCGATCGGCGGTCGTCATTTCGTTTCGGCCTCCTGAAAGGTCGGAGGCCGAGTATTTTCGAACCGACAAAGGTACTAGAAGAAAAAAAAACTAGCTTGGGAGCCTTGGACACAAAAAGGCGGGGATGTTGGCTGCAGGGAAGTTGTGGATTTGAAATCCGGAGGTTGTGTTATCACAGGCATGGTTGATGTGATGTACCTTGAGCGTTGTGGACGATCTGCAACACCCATATGATGACTAGTCCCACAGATTTTATTTTTATTTTTTTTTTATTTTTTTTTATTTTTTTTGTTGTTGTTGTTGTTAAGGGTGGCAGCCTTGAGATATCATCATCAAGGTGACCAGCCACAGTTAATTCATAATTTTTTCATTGCATACACATCTAGGGCCATCAGGATTCGAACTTGGGTCTGTATTTCAACAGTTCTCGTTGGTCTACCAGCTGAGCTACCTTCTTCCCCCGAATACGTTGTATTTGGTCATTATAGCAGCTGTATTAGAGGCATCTTTCAGTCTAGATACAGCTATAATGACCGTACGTTGTATTCGCGGGAAGAAGGTAGGCTTGTTGGTCATTAGCCCCATAGTTGTGCTCATACAGATCGGGTAAACTTGGTATGGTTCAGTCACTTTTTTTATTTTTATTTTTTTTTATGGTTCAGTAACTTCAGATCACTTGGTAGATATTAAACTGATTAAACTTAATTAAACTTATTAAAAATTATTAAATAATAAATTGAATTAAATTCTAACTAGTTCATTTCGTCTGACTGCTGAGATAACAGAGACCTAGGACCAGGTGGATAGATGCTAAGTGTTTTTTTTTTTTTCTTTTTTTTTTTCTTTTTTTTCAATCCGCTTCACTGCCTTTCTTGTTGTTGTTCTTTGTCCTTTTCTAGTTTTTGGAAAGTCTCTTGTTCTTCGTCCTTTTCTAGTTTTTGGAAAGTCTAACAAGTCCAACAGTCTATCACATGTTGTTGAAACTTGAAAAACATCATCTTTTCAGTAGTTTTTGCTTGAGTGGTCGTCTTGTACATGGAAAGTACTACGTAGGATAGCTGTATTAAAAATAAAATAAAAAAAAAAGATAGCTCCAGTCATGAGCGGTAAAAGGATACGACTTGGTCGTAAAAGTTTTTAAAAAAAGTTAAAAAAAAAAGTCCCAGGAAACAGCAAGAAAGTTGAAGAAACCTTACATAGGTCGCAGGTGCAACCCCCTCCCCTTCCCCCCTCTCCTCTCCTCTCTCTCTCCAGAAGGCCTCCAGTGACACAGCAAGGAACCTTACACATGTTGTAACTTGAAAGTGGTCCCCACCGTCCTTTTCCGTCTTTCGCAAAAGAAGGAAAAACGGCCAAAAAAAAAACTCTCCCCGAACAAAAGATAGCATGGAAGTTATGGAACATAACAAATGGACCGTCTGCATGTCTCTGTATCTAGTGTGTGTATCCATCTCTCTGTCTCTAGTGTGTCTCCAGAGCGATGTTCCTAGCGTGTCCATCTAGTGTGCCTCCAGACAGCTGTTCCTAGTGTGTCCATCCCTCTGTCTCCAGTGTCTATAGCAACATGTTTCTAGTGTGTTGCCATCTCTGTCTGTGGTGGCTCTCTAGAGACATGTTTCTAGTGTCTTCATCCCTCTGTCTCTAGTACTCTCTACCTCTGTCTTTGTTGCTGATTATCTCTGTCTTCATGTGACGAGAGCATCTGTAGTGACGAGCGGAGATTTTTTTAATACTGCGGAATGTTAAGCCACCAGTGCGTTTCACAGCTGTCGTGTTCGCACATGGCGGTTAACCTGCTGCAAAATTGTGGGTTGCGCATACCGGATAGAAAAGACTGGCAATTTCGTGCGTGGGGGGGTTCATTTTGTTTTTTGAGTTGTGTAGCAGAGCACTTCCGAATCGGAGAAAAGAGGCTCGGATGGACTGGTGGTTTAGACGAAACAGGCACATGGTGTGGTGAAGCCTGCCTCTCATTTTTTTCATCGGAGGAGTGAGGAGATGGGGTGGGGGCAGGAGTGTGGGCAGGAGTGGGGGCGGGGGTGGGTTGGGGGTACCAAAGGGGAAAAAACAATGCCGTAAGAAGCAAACTCAAATTCAAATAACAAATCAGCTGATAATCTGTCGCCTCTTGTTCCCCTTCTTGTTGTTTGTCACCAACCGACCGACCGACCTTCCGTCGTGCAGGTGGATTATAATGATCGGCCAAACGCAGAGCTGGTTGTGAAGACGATTAAGGATGCAGATGTTATCATACCGTCCATCGCCATCATCTAGGCCATCGAAAGCTCTGCTTGAATTTTAGATTAAGTCGGAGTCACGGCGTATTCACACTACAGGGGACTTCACTAGATGCATCCGGCCGCAATTATGGCCAGCCAGGGATGTATCTGACTGCAATGATGCCCTCGGGAGGACGTTGGATTCCTACTGGAATAGCAGGTGGCTGCTGATGCCAGCTTACCATCCATCACACATGTTTGTCGTCCGAAGCTTTGCTAGGCTGAAGGAAGTACGCCGCGAGGACTGCTACCATGTCTGGAGGCCATAGCGGATCAGGCAGCGGAGGTGGGAAAGTGGATGAGAGAAGTACTTGAGGGTCGAAGTGAGGTGGTTCTCCCCTTGAGGAAGACCCTGCGTGGCAGCGGTCGAAACTGGTCTCGGTGCCATACCCACCCACGAATGCAATCTCGTACCGCGGCGTACATGTGTGCTTTGGTTCGGTAATAGATTGCTTTCATGATTGATTGGATTGAGTTCAATTGATTACCTAAATAGTTTTTTTTTTTTTTTTTTAATAGTAAGTGTCACACCAATTCAGCTGAAGGAAGTAGGACTTCTCTGAATGACAAAATTAAAAGAAAAACTTCGCTGACGATAAAGGTAGTAGGATTTTTCTGGATGTCAAGATAGAAAGGTGACAGAAAAGGGAAAAACAAATCGCTCTCCATCTCTCCTCCTCCTCTCTCTGTTATCTATTTCTCTTGTATGTTACTCTCAACAAAGATGTTTTATTTTTTATTTTTTGACAACAAAGATTTGCATCGACGAGTGTCAGAAAACCGGGAGGCGAAAATTAAATAAGGATTTAAAAAAAAAAAAGAGGAAATGCGAGAAGGAAGAAGAGGAAGGGGACGGATTGGCGAAGACCAAAGCATGCCGGCAAGGTCATCGCGAAGAGACATCTGTTCAGCGGTCTAGGAGCTCACATCGTGTTTTCACTTATGCAGCTGGTCTGTTTTCACTTATGAAGCTGATCTGTTTTCACTTGTGCAGCTTTCTGTGGGAAACGTTCGCTGGAAGCCATGAATATATATGCTGTAGAAGCTTTAGAAGATTGTTATTAAAAGGTTTTTTGTTTTGTTTTGTTTTTTTTTTGAAAAGAAATTGGACCATTTCTCAATTTATGTGTGTCATCCTTGTGCAGGGGCCATGCTAATATTCTCTATATCGTTCCAATTTTAATGGATGTCCCGAAGGACTTTTTGTTATTAAAAGTTAAAAATGAAAAAAAAAAGAGGAAAACGACTTTGCTAAAAGTTAAAACCATGGCTATGCCAGAAGCATTGGACTGCACCCGTGAACTTACCTGGGCCCATGTCCCACTACCACGGGCTTAGTTTATGTTTCTTGTATTTTTCAACATGGTCACATTGTGGCCGTGAGATTTTCGGATCGGATGGCAGGGGGGCATGCATACTCGAAACCAGAACTAGACCTCCGCTAGTGGGACATGGCCCATGGAGATACCATACCGGGCCGGAGTGAGTGTGACTTAGGGCCTCGCTCCACTGCTCGCGAAATGCACAAAGGACAAAAATCATGGCCACGTATCTTTCCATGTTCTAGTGGAAGATTCACTCTCGTTTTGCACATTTTGAGAGTAGTGGAGCGAGGCCCTTACTATTACTGTTTCCGGTCATTGATGTTGTTAACATTGACTTGTTCGGAGTTGGAGTTGTGTTTCATCGTACTTCTCTAAAGTGTGACGTGTTTGTCTTTATCCTAAAGCATTGGTCTGCGCACGCGAACTTACCTGGAGATACTGTACCGGGCTGGAGTGAGTGCGACTTAATATTACTGTTGCTGTCATTGATGTTGCAGTCAGATAGCCTGTCTGCAAGAGTCGAAGCTAGACAACGATAAACTGGGGGAACTAGGGAGATGGTGGGATGGGCCGCAAATTTGGTCTGCGGCGCAAGGGACTAGGGGTGGGGTGGGGATATTAATCCACAGGGACTTGGCGGTGCAAATAGTGGACTATTATGCAGACCTCTGGGGCCGTTGGGCCTGGGTGACTCTGAGGCACGGTGAAGTTACGTGGGCTGTAGCCTCGGTTTATGCCCTGACAAGAAGGAAGGAAAGAATGGCTTTTTTGGATGAGCTGCGAGTGTGCCTTCCAGACGTGGACGAGATCATCATCGGCGGAGATTGGAACACAGTTCTGGACTCCCCGCCGGATCAAAGAGATCAAGGGTGCGCCAAGGACGTCCTCGCTCTGGTGGACATGATGCTGGACTTGGATTTGCAGGATGTGTACAGGGAGCTGCGACCAGCGGAACCGGGTTACACCTGGTTCTCGCACAGGAGGAAAGTCAGGAGACTGGATTACCTGCTAGTGGGAGGGAGCTTGAAGAAGCAGGTGATCAACGTGGAGGAGGCCAACAACCCGGTCTCGGATCATAAACCGGTAATTGGGTTCTTCAATCTTGCGAAAGAGTTCAAGAGAGGCAGGGGCTACTTTAAGCTTAACACGCAGAATCTGCAGTGCGAAGGGTTAAACCAATGGACACAAGGGTTCTGGGAACGGTGGCAAAAGCAAAAAGAGCGGTTTGCTACGGTAGCAGAGTGGTGGGAAGTGGGATCAAGGATTATGTCGAAGCTGCTGGATGTCTTCTCTAGGATACTTGCGTTGACCAGGAACAAGGAAGAGAGGAAACTACGGAAGAAAGTACAGGAGGCAGAGGAGAAAATGCAGAGACACCCTATCTCTGAATTGACGTGGGGAAAGGAGAGGGTCAGAAGGTTAGCTGAGTGGGATGAGAAGCAACAAGAGAAATCAGATCTGTGGGCGGAAAGACTGAAGGTCAAGGGACTGGAAGTGTATGATAGGATGTCCAGGGAAACCTTCCAGAAGTTAGCACCTGCAAGAACTACTCCGACACTAAAAGAGCTCAGACACCCTTTCGACTCCAGGGAACCAGTGGTGGTGGAACCAGAGGAGCTGTGCAAGTATGCAGTACTGTACTATCAAGACATTCTAACGTCTAGAAGGCAGGGGGAAGGCGCAGATGCGGATCTAGCAGCCGACTCAGATCACTGGAACAATACGACAGTAAGGCTGCACACACGGGGACGCCTCGACCTGGACAGACCAATTACGAAGGAGGAAGCAGAGGAGGCCCTGAAGGCCATGGCAAATGGGAAGACTCCAGGCAACGATGGACTCCCGATAGAGTTCTACCGACAACACTGGAAGGTGCTCGGAGACGACCTCGTGGAGATCTATAATGAAATGCAGATGGGCGGGAAGCTACCGGACAGCGCTTGCAGAGGAATAATCTCTATTCTATTCAAGAAGGGGGATACAAGTGAAATACGGAATTGGAGACCCATCTCGCTCCTTAACGTATCCTACAAAATCCTCGCAAAGGTCTTAGCACGAAGATTAGGTAGGTATCTACCGAATTTAGTGGAGGATGGTCAGGCGGCTTTTGTTAGAGGCCGTTCTATCTACGAGAACATCGTCACGGCTGTGGAAGTGTTGGAGGTGGTTAGCCAGGAGGATTTGGATGTCAACGTCCTATTACTGGATATGGAAAAGGCGTATGACCGGGTAAACTGGTCATACGTCCTGACCTCCCTCAAATGGATGGGGTTTGGGGAAGTGTTCTGCAACTGGGTGCGCGCTGTTTGTGATTCACTTGGAAGTCCCCCTGAACAACATTAGGACCAATGCGCAGATCCTAGGCATAGATGTGGGGAAGCGTGCATGCAAGGTAAAAGCGTTGGCGGATGACCTGTTTGCGGTCTCAGCCAACACAGTAGATTCGATGTCAGCACTGCGTCACTGTCTGAGACAGTATGAGGAGTTGTCGGAAGCGGCGATAAATTGGTCTAAGTCGGTTTTCCTCCTACCTCGGAAGTACTCCCCAGCGGTGGACTGGGGTATGAAGCGGGTCCAGTGTGACAACTCCGAACCATTCCTAGGAGTCCAAGTGGCACTCACCTCGTGCGCGCTCCGACAGGAAGAGATTCTACAAAACAAGGTACTCCAGAGAACGACCGTGTGGGGGAAAGCCCCGCACCTATCACTATTCGGACGTGCCTTGGTGGCAAATGTGGCACTCTTCGCTCTCCTCACCTTTGTGGGGAACGTGAGACCGCTAGGGAAGAAGATACAGGCAGTGGTACGAAGGAAAGCCTCAACGTTCATCTGGAAGCCCTATGCGGAAGAAGGAGAGGGAGTGATGTCTAAGGTAGCATGGGAGTTGATATGCGCTCCTAGAAGGGAAGGGGGGCTGGGCATGATGGACCCAGGCAGGAGAAATCTGGCTATGCTGGCCAGATGGGTTGTCAGAGCGATTATCACACAGAATGATAAGCACTGGATCCTGTTGGGAGAACGCATCCTGAGCAGGGAATGGCAATTGGTAAGGCAGTCGGACGTTTGGGCCTGCGTTTGGATTGAGTCATACCTCAGGAGTAAATTGAAATCTGAGTTCTGGCAAGCGGTCCTGCAAGCATGGAGACGGGTGAAGCCGGACATGCTCAGCGATCCGCACACAAAGGAGGAAGTTTTATCGCAGATCATTTTTGAGAACCAACGTATCAGGGATGATAGAGGGAGGATGCTGATGGCGAACTCAACACCGGGCAGCTTTGGGAAGACGTGGATAAAGCGGGGGGTGGTAAGATTGAGAGATCTTTGGAATGAGTTTACAGGGGATTGGCGAACAAGTGAGGAGCTAGAGAGCATCCTAAGACCGGGTAGGAACATCAGACAGAGGAGAAGTGTAGTGCTGGAGAGTATTCCAGACGAGTGGAAACAGATACTCTCTCCGGCAGTACCGAACCCGGTAGGTACTTGGTACGAAGTGAAGAAGGAGCAGGACCCAGAAGGGCCACAGCTTCGTGACTTCGTGAAACTGGTGGAACTTAGCGAGGAAGGTGGGAGGAAGTTCCAACAATGGCAGTCGGAGGGTGCAGGAGTCAAACCGAGGCTATGCGAGGAAGAGGAGCACTGCTCTCGGCCAGAAGGCACTTTAGTCGAAATCAGGGTGAGGGAGACAGTGAGTGTTACATGCATAGATATGTGATGTTTGTAATAACCGAGGAACTGCAATGTGACGAAAAGGACTGAAATGGACAATGCGGTGAGAGTAGAATCTCGACAGACAATGTGCATTCTCATACATACAAAAGTGCTGAATAGCGCAG